GATTAGTAGACAACAAACTATCGTTACACCTCGGGAAAATTGAAGCCATTCTCTTTGGCACGAAACATAAACCGAGAAGGGTAAATAATTTTAATGTCCAGTGTAATGGGGAGCCCATCACTTCAGTTTCCTCAGTAAGATTTCTGGGAATCCCCTATGACCCATGCATGTCAGGAGAATTGATAGGGAACATGTAGTACAGAAAGCGAATGCCAGGCTTAAGTTCCTCTATAGACAAGCACAGTGTCTACCTACTGAGGCTCGCAGGACCCTATGTCTAGCCCTTATACAGTGTCATATGGACTACCCTTTTTCTTCATGGTACTCTGCCTTGACAAAAAAAAACTGAAGGATAGACTGCAAATCACCGAGAACAAAATGGTAAGATTCGTTCTGGACCTGGATCCAAGAGAGCATGTAGGCCAGGATGAATTACAGCAGTTGGATATGCTCAATGTTGAAGACAGTAAAACAACTGAAGCTAAATCAAGTTTATAAAATTGCTCGCAAACAGTGTCAGGAATATCTTGCTGCCAATTTTGTCAAGGCTGGGAACCAAAGGTGGAGAGAGCACAACTTTGTAGTAGCCACAGTCAGTGGTCAGGCTTCAAACATCTTTTATTGTACAGCAATAAAGGAATAGAACAGACTGCCAGCACATGTCAAAGCCAGTCATGGCATGAACCAGTTCAAGAAGAGTGCCAAGAGGTGTCTGATGAATGTAGGTATAATTTTACCTTATTCCTCGTAATGACCCTCGTATTGTAGATAGTCTTAATGATCCTCATGTAATAGTCTTAATGACACTCTTATAGTAGATAGTCTTAATAGTATGATAATAATATATTATCTCCTTTATAGAATAATAATAAGGTAAAAGGACCTCAATGGATATAAGTCACTCTGTCTGACTTTTTTGGGTTATCCCAGGTACTTTACACATATGCTGCTATGTATGATAATTTATGTAACTGTATTTGCGTATACCTGAATAAACTTACTTAGTCAACATAGGGGAAGGGCATCAAAGGTGCTCGCGCCCCAGAGGCAACGCCTTTGGCTCACAACTTAAAGACCCGGATGCAATTTTGGACAGGTGGAGATGCGAGGGCAAGTCTCCTCTCATTTGTTGGCCCCTGTCCATCTAACAGTAAACAGGTACCTGGGAGTTAGTTGGTATACATAGTATATGGCTAGCATTCTAGTGAAGAGGATCTAAAGATCCCCAGTAGAAATAAATCACATTACTTGGCTCTCTTGGACTGTCCTGGGTTATTGACCTTGGTCGTTATCCTGGGTTATTGACCTTGGTTATTATCCTGGGTTATTTACCTGGGTTATTTTCCTGGGTTACCCAGCTGTTGCACATATGTCTTAATCATTAACTTGTCGGTATATTATACCACTTTCAACAATACTGCCAGACACTGCAGCACAGGACTCACGAAATCGTAATGACACGATTACAAACAAACCATACCACGGGCGGGGATAGAACCCGCGACCAGAGAGTCATAAAACTCCAAGCTGGCACAGTAGCTAGCGCGTCGGTCTGGAGTATTATGACTCTCTGATCGCGGGTTCTAGCCCCACCCTTGGTGTGGTTTGTTTACTGCAGCACAACGGTACCTTGGTACAGAGGACATCTTTTACACTTCATCGCTTAACAGTTACGAGTGAGAAGAGTTGGATTCCAGAGGGACCCGCCTTCTTACTTTTACTAGTGAACCCCGTTCCCTGCAACGTCTTCGAGATCTTCCACCTCACCTTCGAGAGTATTTAATACTCCATTCTCATGTCTGAGCTTCATATCGTTCCAAACAATGGACATGAATTCTTCTCCAGGCTGAGGGACTGACTACCTCAAATTATATTTCTCCAAGGTTGATGGACTGATTACATCATCTTCATTTCACTACTACACCTGCTACCTTTGTATTTGACTGAAGAAGCCTACTGTATAGGCGAAACGTTTCAACAATAAAGATACCCAACTGTTGCACATGTATCTTAATCATCAACAAGTCGGTATTTTATACCATAAACATAACTTTTACTATGTGAAGGTTCGTGCAACACTTGACAGGTACACGTTCCTGTGTTCACTTTCCTACACACCGTCAAGACGTTAGTTTCCAAGTAATAACTTCAGTAGCTTATTATTTATATTTCAAAAATTTTAATATTCGTGTATCGTATTTAATGGAGAGTGATGGTGCTCTTTTCACTTTTAATCTCGAAATGGTTTAATCTCCAATGGTTTTTTTTAATAAATAACTTCTGAAAGAATGTGCTTTGATGTTGGTGAGGGTGCTTTTGATCCAAGGAACTAGATCCAAAGAACTCTCCTTTCATGGATCGAATCTGAATGCCTCACAGTCCCCAGTTAGGATTATAATAAAATATTTCTGGACGGTATCAGTCATGTGATATGGATGAAATTTTTCTGGAATTAGGCTGCGTAGGTGCAATTTTCTTTTAATTCCGTGCAATAACTAGAGAATGCATTCCTTGGTCGGCTTCACACTTTCAGCGTTGATGTGTTTTCCTCAAAGGAAGTTTTGTCTTTAATTTACCTTATGCAGGTTGTACTATGTCAGTTTATAAAGTAAATTGGTTTCTCTGAAATAACTGGAGACTGCCTCTTCTGATCACACTAAGTGATCTTAAATCATCTTAGGTTATCTAAGGTTAAATTTATTTACTGTAGTCTTGATGTGCTCAGAACATCAGTGTGACATCAAGAATATTGTAAAACTCTCAATATTATGTATATAAATTCTAAATAAAGTTTCCTAATTGCTAATTTACTTTAAACTTACATAATAGTCCATCTTACAAAGCGAACAGTTTAGATCCCAATTTAGTTGTTTTTGTGGGAGAAATTGGGAAAATTGAAATACTGATTTTCATGCGACAATTTCTGAAGTGTTTCATGTAATTGTTTTGAACCTTTCAACGATGATAACTTGTTAATGCAAGTTCTGAGCGAATATATACTTAATATGCTGGCGTATTTTAATTAAGATACTGATGTCAAAGATAACAAGAAAATATCTCTTCAGTTTGGCTTCACGGTTGGTGTCTCCTGGTGGGAGGTTTGAATTACTTTGGCTTATGTATGTCTTAAATTTTCACTTTTATTGAAGAAATTGGGATATTAATTTCCAAGTGATAATTTGTGAATACCTCTTCCGATTCGTCTCAGATCTTCAACACCAACATTAAACAGATTTAGACACTTAAGCCGCTACTACTACTACTACCACTACTACTACTACCACTACTACCACTACTACTACTACCACTACTACCACTACTACTACTACTACTACTACTACTACTACTACTACCACTACTGCTACTACTACTACTACCACTACTACTACTACTACTACTACTACTACTACTACACACTACTGCTACTACTACTACTACCACTACTACTACTACTACTACTACTACTACTACCACTACTACCACTACTACTACTACTACTACTACTACTACTACTACTACCACTACTACTACTACTACTACTACTACTACTACCACTACTACTACTACTGCTACTACTACTACTACTACTACTACTACTACTACCACTACTACTACTACTACTACTACTACTACTACTACCACTACTACTACTACTACTACTACTACTACTACTATTACCACTACTACTACTACTACTACTACTACCACTACTACTACTACTACTACTACTACTACTACTACTACTACTACTACTACTACCACTACTACTACTACTACTACTACTACTACTACTACTACTACTACTACTATCGTATGCACCAGGCACAGGGGGCTGGGGCTATGCAATAAGGGATGCGGCGTTCGAACCCACCTTCTGCAATATAAAGAAGGTGGGTTCGAACCCCGCATCCACAGGGAATACCTTTCTCGGATTCTGCAACGAATCAGATGCATAGAGTTTGCATAAATTATCAAATTTTTCTTCTTTTAGTTGTTCTGGTTTTCATTTTCTCTCAAAGAGAAGATGGCAGCCAACTTTCTCGAAATCTTGTATCTCTCATTTTCTAAGTTAACCTCGCAAATTGTGATTGCTTTCCAGGACACCATAACCTGTTTATATATATATATATATATATATATATATATATATATATATATATATATATATATATATATATATATATATATATATATATATATATATATATATATATATATATGCAATAAGATCACAGTAAACAGGTGATTTCAAAATATGCAAAACAACCACTCTGAAAGAATAGAGAAATTCCAAGTGCTTTCGTGACTACTCACATTGTCAAGGAACTATGAAAGTAAAGCATCCAAGGAAGCTATATAAGGGGTTTGGCCAACACCTCACTATCAGATCCCACAACGGTTAAACACCTGACGCGCGCCGGCCCAACTGGACAGGTCCTTTGCACAACTCACCAACAAACTATTCTACCCAAGAAATTTTTTAAAATTATTATTTGTCCAGTGTATTATTAAATTTAATAATATTATTAAATTTAATAATATTATTAAATTTAATAATATTATTAAATTTAATAATACACTGGACAAATAATAATTTTAAAAATTTTCTTGGGTAGAATAGTTTGTTGGTGAGTTGTGCAAAGGACCTGTCCAGTTGGGCCGGCGCGCGTCAGGTGTTTAACCGTTGTGGGATCTGATAGTGAGGTGTTGGCCAAACCCCTTATATACCTTCCTTGGATGCTTTACTTTCATAGTTCCTTGACAATGTGAGTAGTCACGAAAGCGCTTGGAATTTCTCTATTCTTTCAGAGTGGTTGTTTTGCATTTATATATTATTATATTATTAATATATATATATATATATATTATATATATATAATATATATATATATATATATATATATATATATATATATATATTTACACGCATATGTGTTGTATACAGACACTCATCGTTAAGGCTTGTCGTTCTCACTTGCACATTCTGGTCTCTTTCGCAGGTGGAGAGGAAACGACACATCGGGAACGACATCGTCAACATCGTGTTCCTGGACGGCAGTGTGGAAGACATGGCCAACTTCTCACCGTCGTTCATCAAGTCCCAGTTTACTCGTATCCTTTAATATGAGGGTCCGTTCCTTCTGCAGTTGCTGTTCCTCCTCCTCCTCCTCCTCCTCCTCCTGTTGTTTCTCTTCCTTCTGTTGCTGTTCCTCCTATTTCTCCTGCTACTGTTCCTTCTCGTTCTGTTGCTGTTCCTCTTCCTGTTTTTCCTTCTTTTCCTCCTCCTCCTTTCCTCTCTGAAAGAAAGAAATATTAAAATCCAAGAGCTGGAGTGACCAAGAGTCCGCAGTTAGCGAAGAAAACGTATGATCGTCTTTCATTCCGTCCTGGATCATTGTCAAATCACAACTGTTGCGAAATAGTAGAGAAAACCGGAAGACAAAACGAAAGCTGAGGTGAGCTGCGGTAGGCCTGACACCTGGTACGAGGGTGGCTGAGGTGAGCTGCGGTAGGCCTGACACCTGGTACCAGGGTGGCTGAGGTGAGCTGCGGTAGGCCTGACACCTGGTACCAGGGTGGCTGAGGTGAGCTGCGGTACTCCTGACACCTGGTATCAGGGTGGCTGAGGTGAGCTGCGGTAGGCCTAACACCTGGTACCAGGGTGGCTGAGGTGAGCTACGGTAGGCCTGACACCTGGTACCAGGGGTGGCTGAGGTGAGCTGCGGTAGGCCTGACACCTGATACCAGGGGTGGCTGAGGTGAGCTGTGGTAGGCCTGACACCTGGTACCAGGGGTCGCTGAGGTAAGCTGCGGTAGGCCTGACACCTGCTACCAGGGTGACTGAGGTGAGCTGCGGTACTCCTGACACCTGGTACCAGGGAGGCTACCTACCTGGAGTCTACCTGGAGGGCATTCCGGTCCACGACCAGGCCTCCCGGTGGATCAGGGCTTGATCAACGAGGCTGTTACTGCTGGCCGCACGCAATCCTACGTACGAACCACAGCCCGGCTGATCCGGCACCGTCTTTAGGTATATGTCCAGCTCCCTCTTGAAGACAACCAGGGGTCTTCCCGTAATGCCCCTTATTGCTGGTGGGAGGCTGTTGAACAGTCTTGGGCCCCGGACACTTATTGTGTTTTCTCTTAGTGTACCAGTGACGCCCCTACTTTTCACTGGGGGTATGTTGCATCGCCTGCCAAGTCTTTTGCTTTCGTATGGAGTGATTGCTGTGTGTATATTAGGGACCAGTCCCTCCAGAATCTTCCAGGTGTAGATTATGATATATCTCTCTCGCCTACGCTCTAGTGAGTACAAGTCAAGTGCTTCCAGGTGCTCCCAGTAGTTAAGGTGTTTGATGGAACTTATACGTGCAGTAAAGGTTCTCTGTACATTCTCTAGCTCTGCAATTTCACCTGCCTTGAATGGGGATGTTAATGTACAGCAGTATTCCAGCCTAGAAAGAATAAGTGATTTAAAAAGGATCATCATTGGCTTAGCATCTCTTGTCTTGAATGTTCTCATTATCCATCCTATCAGTTTCCTAGCAGATGTGATAGTGGCATTCTTGTGGTCCTTGAAGGTGAGGTCTTCGGACATTACCACACCCAGGTCCTTCACATTACTTTTCCGCTCTATTGTGTGATTGGAGTTTGTAGTATACTCAGTTCTAGTTATTATTTCCTCCAGTTTTCCATAACGGAGTAGTTGGAATTTGTCTTCATTGAACATCATATTGTTCTCTGTTGCCCATTGGAAAACTTGGTTTATATCTTCTTGGAGCTTTGCCGTGTCCTCAATGGCTGACACTCTCATGCAGATCCTAGTATCGTCTGCAAAAGATGATACAGTGCTGTGGTTTACATCTTTGTCTGTGTCTGATATGAGAATAAGGAACAGGATAGGTGCGAGTACTGTGCCTTGTGGGACAGAGCTCTTCACTATGGCAGCATCTGATTTAACTCTGTTTACCACTATTCTTTGTGTGCGATTGGTTAGAAAGTTGAAGATCCATATGCCTACTTTGCCGGTTATCCCTTTAGCACGCATTTTGTGTGCTATTACACCATGGTCGCACTTGTCAAAGGCTTTTGCAAAGTCTGTGTATACTACATCCGCATTCTGTTTGTTTTCCAGTGCATCTAGGACCATATCATAGTGGTCAAGCAGTTGCGAAAGGCAGGAGCGACCTGCTCTGAAACCATGTTGCCGTGGGTTGTGCAATTTTTGGGAGTCCAGGTGGTTTGCTATCCTGCTTCTTAGAACTCTTTCAAAGATTTTTATGATGTGGGACGTTAAAGCTATTGGTCTATAGTTCTTAGCTAATGCTTTGCTGCCACTTTTATGGAGTGGGGCTATATGTGTTGTTTTTAGTGGCTGAGTGCATTTACCAGAGTATATACACCTGGATGAGTGTATCTACCAGGGTATGTACACCTGATGAGTGTAATTACCAGGGTATATACACCTGGATGAGTGTATCTACCAGGGTATATACACATGGATGAGTGTATCTGCCAGAGTATATACACCTGGATGAGTGTATCTACCAGAGCATATACACCTGCATGAGTGTATCTACCAGAGTATATACACCTGGATGTGTATCTACCATGGTATATACACCTGGATGAGTGTATCTACCAGAGTATATACACCTGGATGAGTGTATCTACCAGGGTATGTACACCTGGATGAGTGTATCTTCCAGGGTATATACACCTGGATGAGTGTATCTACCAGGGTATATACACATGGATGAATGTATCTACCAGAGTATATACACCTGGATGAGTGTATCTACCAGAGTATATACACCTGCATGAGTGTATCTACCAGGGTATATACACCTGGATGTGTATCTACCACGGTATATACACCTGGATGAGTGTATCTACCAGAGTATATACACCTGGATGATTGTATCTATCAGGGTATATACACCTGGATATGTATCTACCAGGGTATATACACCTGGATGAGTGTATCTACCAGAGTATATACACCTGGATGAGTGTATCTACCAGGGTATATACACCTGGATGAATGTATCTACCAGGGTATATACACCTGGATGAGTGTATCTACCAGGGTGTATACACCTGAATCAGTGTATCTACCAGGGTATATACACCTTGATGAGTGTATCTACCATTGTATATACACCTGGATGAGTGTATCTACCAGGGTATATACACCTGGATGAGTGTATCTACCAAGGTGTATACACCTGAATCAGTGTATCTACCAGGGTATATACACCTGGATGAGTGTATCTACTAGGGTATATACACCTGGATGAGTGTATCTACCAGGGTATATGCACCTGGATGAGTGTGTCTACCATTGTATATACACCTGGATGAGTGTATCTACCAGGGTATATGCACCTGGATGAGTGTGTCTACTAGGGTATATGCACCTGGATGAGTGTATCTTCCAGGGTATATGCACCTGGATGAGTGTATCTACCATTGTATATACACCTGGATGAGTGTATCTACCAGGGTATGTACACCTGGATGAGTGTATCTACCAGGGTGTATACACCTGGATGAGTGTATCTACCAGGGTATATACACCTGGATGAGTGTATCTACCAGGGTATATGCACCTGGATGAGTGTGTCTACTAGGGTATATACACCTGGATGAGTGTATCTTCCAGGGTATATGCACCTGGATGAGTGTATCTACCATTGTATATACACCTGGATGAGTGTATCTACCAGGGTATGTACACCTGGATGAGTGTATCTACCAGGGTGTATACACCTGGATGAGTGTATCTACCAGGGTGCATACACCTGGATAAGTGTATCTGTCAGGGTATATACACCTGGATGAGTGTATCTACCAGGGTGTATACACCTGGATGAGTGTATCTACCAGGGTGTATACACCTGGATGAGTGTATCTATCAGGGTATATACACCTGGATCGGTGTATCTACCAGGGTATATACACTGAGAAGTGAGTATTTCTCACTTTTCGTACAATAAGATTTTTTCTCTATTCTCTATTTAAGGGGTTGAAGTGTTCCTGTGTCAGCACACAGCTGACTTGTTAAGGGTAAACTCCTTGATGTTTACAGAGACCTAACTCAAGAACATATCATCCTCATCGGCCATTGGTTTGATGCGACAGGAAGTCCTTAGTATTTAGAAAATTTTCGTCACCTCTTTTCATTCGCGCGACATGAAATGGAATTCAATTTCCTCTTTTGTCTTGCCTAACTTTGAAGAATTAGCTCTGCCAGAAATTTATCTTTCATTCTTTAACACGCCGAGCATTTGTCGCCGAGACAATGTGACTCCAGCGTAAAAGACAGTCACTGTTACCAGGTCCGTCGTTGTCTTCACAGAGCTCAGATATTATGATACAATGTTTGGAAGCCAGAGTGCAGACATTATGATACAGTGTTTGGAGGGTAGAGTGCAGACATTATGATACAGTGTTTGGAGGGTAGAGTGCAGACATTATGATACAGTGTTTGGAGGGTAGAGTGCAGACATTATGATACAGTGTTTGGAGGGTAGAGTGCAGACATTATGATACAGTGTTTGGAGGGTAGAATGCAGACATTATGATACAGTGTTTGGAGGGTAGAGTGCAGACATTATGATACAGTGTTTGGAGGGTAAAGTGCAGACATTATGATACAGTGTTTGGAAGGCAGAGTGCAAACATTATGATACAGTGTTTGGAGGGTAGAGTGCAGACAGATATGACTATAACAGAGACACTCAGAATTTTATCCGGTCTTGATTTAATAAAGTTCTATTTGGAGAAAGCTTTATCTTAGTAAAGACAGCTTTTATGTCTTTACTGTGCCCGTGATGATTCAACGAATTCACTAAATCCCGACATTAATATTCACTGTATCGTACTCCAACAGCTTATCAATTGCCAAGATTCCATTGTCTCCACTTACTCCAACCTGACACACACACGACTGCAAACAGTAAGTTTAGTCACTAGTATTATTATTTATCTATTCATTTATGTTGTTTGCTAATCCGGACAGCAGGCAATTACCGAGGTGTGCCCCTGGGTGCCAGGCACTACGAGGGGTTCCAGGCTGTATCTGGAATGTCAGGCACTACAAGAGGTGC